ACACATAGTGGATGTAAGAGAAAAATCCTGACTGGCAACAATTCAATTAGTAAATTTATTTTGAAGCATTTAATTTTGATGTTTGTTTAATAGTTGCAATGAATTTTAATTTATTGTTGCTTTGAAAATTGTCTTACAGACACTCTTCTTTATGACGATATCTATCAAACTGCTTGTTAAGAGCAGAAAAGGGATGATGTTAACCCTTAAACTATGGGCCTTCAAATATTCTCATGGCTAAAATCATGATTTGAACCTTTAAAATGTATATGTATCTAGCACAGAAAGGAGCCTTGTTTGCATATAAATTCTACATAAAAGGGATGAGTGTATATGCAGTTTATAGCATTCTGCTGAGTTTTGATTTAAGCAAAAAACAAAATGAATTAGTGCCATTCACAAATATTTTTGCCTACATTATAATAAACAATGAATATTATATCAAACAAAGTTTTGATGTCATTCATGTTGAAATCTAACCTTTGACCTGAAAATAAAGTGTAGCTCATTCTGTTATGCAAAAGCAATAAATACCATACCCAAGTTTCAGCCTTAATTATGTTCAAATTACATCTTCATTAGTCTGAAACAAATAACCTTCATTCAAAAATTAAAGTTATATTTATTGTTGAAGAATAAATTGGTACACATTGTTAAAATAAAGATTAAAACGAGTGTATAAACAAACATAAAAATTGGAGCTTTCACAGACAACCTGGCTGTAAAATAAACAGTGGCAGAATCATCACTGAAATGATCAACTTGAATAAGACAGTAGTAAAATAATTGCCTAAATCCGGCATAAAAAGCAGAAAAGAGAAGTGCTTGAAATTACCACCAAACTGTATCAACAGAAACCTTCCCTCCAACCTTCCATGCATCTAGCCAATTCTTAGTATAGTAAACCCACAGAAAGCAAGCAAAAATAGGAGTTGAACTTGATCCATTCCAGCTTCAGCTGATGAAGCTGGCAGGTCTTTAACAAAAGTTCTTATTTTATTGTTTTTAAACGTGCTTTCAGTATGTCAGTATGTTAAGCCTAACACATTTTATCTCATTTGAACATCATATTTATTATTTCTTGGAATGCAAGAGAGATTTCAAAAGAGTTGTGATTTATTTATCTATTTATTTGTATTTATAACTCAGTGCAAAATAAGCAGCAAACATGAAAATCAATGCAAGTTCCATCTACAAGCTATCAGTTGTGTATGTTATATGCCTTTTAAAGATTAAATCAACACATATTCCATGAATTTATTCTTACATAATCAATTACATTAGTTAATCTGTTTTAAGAGCTAATTAAAAATGCTGTAATTATGCAGCTATAAAATTAAGTATGCTGAATAATAAGCAGTGTAAATCTTTTTTTTTTTTTTTTAAACTGTGGTACGTACTTTCTTTTAAGCCCTTCTCTTAGCTCTTAGCTTTAGCTTCTTTAGGAAGCTTATATGTTCATGTGTGATTATTTTTAATGAGGATTTCATTCAAGTGCTGTTAATGAATTACAGAATCACAAATATGGAACTGCCTACTTATACAATTAATTATTTATAAATTATTCAGATCTATCGAGCATGAAATTATGTAAATTACTGCATTAGTTTTATTCGAGATAAAAATTGTGTAGCACTAGCAAAAGGTTTGATTTGAGAACCATATACAGATGTATATTTATTTATATACTTTATAAGTAAAGGCTGTTATCTTTGTTCTTGAATATATACAGGGTGTTAAAAAAATTGGATACTGGTTCTGTTTCCTTAAATATTATTCTTAACTTTAGAGTGTTTCTCAGAATAGTACGGATAATTTTATTAAAACAGTTTTCAGCATTGGAGGTAGAAGGCTTCTGTAAATATTAAGTTTAACCTTTTTATGTCCCTTGTAAAGCAAAAAATCCTATTACTAAAACATTTATTGTACTTTGATTAGTTAAATATAAAATTCTGTACTGTTATATGCAAAATTCTTAATGCTTTTAATAAATAGTTTCATGCAGCCAGCTAAAGAATTAATAATGAGTAGTGTTTTTCTAGTATGGAACCATTAAATGCCGAAACTAGAAATTTTCTTCGCTACTTTCAACTCAAATCTGGCAAAAGCCACTTAGTAACAGGGATTTAAAACTGATCTATCTGTCAATAAATTCATTCTTGAATGTCACCATGATTTTTTAATGAACGTTTTGTTTTTAACATATTAAAACATCTTAATTTTTTTATAAATAGATATTAAAGTAAAACAAATTAGAATATTTGCTCGGTAAGGACCATATAAAAATGGTTTTATGTTTGCAAGTTTGTCACACTTGCAGAATAATAAAACTTGAACTACCTTTATGGAATTCTCTGTTTTATCTGAGAAACTTTGTGTACCTTTATGGAATTCTCTGTTTTATTTGAGAAACTTTGTGATATGGTACATATCTAGGATTGTTTTTTTAGAACATGCATACGTGCAGGTAAGCACACATATTTACATTGTTTTGGTTGCAATTCATTTATTTATAATAATGCCATAACTCTGAATCTGTGTTATGATAATTTTTGCTCAGATTTTCTGTCTAGAATAAGCTTATTGAACCCCTTCTACAGCAGTACTAATTATTAAGCAATACATTCATATTTTAACAAAACTAATTCCAGCATTAAATTTCAGTAATTGGCAGCCATTTTTATTTAATTTGTTATTAAACTGTCCCTCACTCCCTAAAACATCTGCCAGAAAAGTGTTATGTATTTAATATGTTTTTCTACAATCTGTGTTCTTAAATTCATTTCTTTCAAAATTGTACAGTTCCAGTCAGTGGCCATTGACCAATGGAAGGGGTTGGCTCAATTTGTATTCAAATTTCGGCTGATATTTGTGCCATCGTTAACGAATTTTATGTCGTAATTAGCTATAGCAGCCCTGTTTGAACCTGATTTTATTCGTAGATTTCTATGTAAGTAAAAACTAAAGTATGCACTCTTAACTAAACTGACATTAATTATCAATGCAGCATTTTAATGACATCTGGTTTGAAAATAACATTCCGCATTTAGTTTCTACAGTACCCTCTTTATGCTTTTTATGTGTTCAAATATTAGTGTTTAATTCACTACAGTTAACAACGCTTTATACTGATTCCACTTCCAGTCATAACAGCCATCACTTGCATTCACAAAGGTTTAAAAAAACTGAGAGATAATGATTATTGTATTATTTAGGGTAAATATACCCTGCATTTTCAATATTAGCATAGATTAATATTTATTTAATTTATTTATTAAATATACTTATAACATCAAGATAATGATTTAGCGCTTGCAGTCTGCATGCGCACTTTTCTTTGAAGGCATATAGCATATTATGTTGTTATATAACTTTTTGGAAAAGGTTTTTTTTAATAATAAAATTACTATGCATTTTTACAGGCTTAATATGCATTTATTAAGGTTAAGATTATAGCTTTAAAAATAAATATTAGATAACATATTTAATATTTTACATAGTTTATGTGTGTATATGTTTTCCCTTTAACTGCTAGGCATTTTCTCAAAAATACGTCCTTGAAAATGACCAAACCTATCACTATTTTATCCATATTATCACTGAGAACATGATTTAAGATATGCAACAGGGGTAAACTAATACCACACTCAAAAGTAAATGAGAAAATATGTACACAATCAAACCTTTTGCATAAGTCAAAGCCCTCTGATTTCAGACTTAGGAACTTCTATACCATCCAGAGCAATATATATGTGTATTTATGTATGTGTCCATGCATGCATACACATGTGTAAAAATATCCCCATGTGTTTATTTTATTTTTATGCTGAAAATTTTTACTTTTTATCTAAAAGGTTTATTTCTCAATTATTTGTTGTAAATGATAGATTATTAGTGTAGCCCTTTATTTTTAGAACGAAATCAGAATTTCCAGATTTAGTGTGTAATGCTCATCGGTTATGGAGCACCTTGTAATAAATAATTACAAGGTTATGGAGTACCTTGTAATTATTATTTCAAATAATAATTACAAGGTACTCTAGTAAAGAAATCTAAAAGATTTGTGTAAATCCTTACATTTGAATAAGTTCTTGGAATTTATGATTTTTATAAATATTTATGACTTTTTAGGATTGTATAGTTTTTACACCTTCGGTGAGAAATATATGATTTGATTCAGAGTATCATTGTTGTAAAAGTCATATGATATAATCAAAATGTATGAATAACTGTGAATTACCGTATTTTTTTTTACTTTGAAATACAGTAGATGTACAAAGTGAAAGAAAAAGGTGGTTAGATTATTTCTCATGGAAATTAATATGTGTATGAAACTTAGCATGTAGATGTAAAATTTTTTTACAAAGACAAGTAGTGATACATTTATCATAATCCAGTAACTGATGCATGCATTCATGAGTACATCAGTTATTGAAGATGTGAAGAAAATTATCTGCCATGTACCTCCAGTCATGATATATCAAGAAGGGAAACCGTTTTTGACTGTTTAAAGTTATATTTACGATTTTTAACTTTTGTATTGCATTTTGCTCCCTGTAGTTATTATATTGTAAATTTTATACCTGTTCTTATTCTGTAGTGCAATTTTATATCTTCATTTTTGTCTTACAGTCCGTATTGAAATATAGACAAATTATTTTTTGCTGTACCAAAATAGATTTTATTCTCTATAGGCATAAATCATAATCTGTTTAAAAATATCTGTCCATACATTAAGTGCTATACATTGTATCCTCTTCTTCGTAGTTCCATCTGTCTTCAAGGCTCTTAATTAAGTAAAAATTAATTTTAACATGATAAATTTTTAGGAATCTTAGCTGTTAAGCATGTCATTCATGTGTTGTCTTAAACTTTTATAAAATATGACATGTACTTATACAAAGAGTGTATATAGTCAAATTTAGTTGTATTTTCTACATTTTGTAATTTTTATGATATATTTCTTCAGAAATATGATTTGCACTTTTTATTTTATATAGGATAATATCATAAAGATTCATTGATAATATTTCTGTAGTAAATTACAAGGATATCTTTTAATGGAAGATGCAGTCTGTGGGACCGTCTGAAAGCAATTGTAGATATTTTAGAATTTCATTGTTATTTCATGACTGAGAAGTTTTATTTCCCATTGGTCATTTACTAAGAATGTGAAGTAAAATTACTATATTTTCTATTTTTGTTTAAAAAAATGTATTAACCTTAAATAAATATTTACTTTTGTTTTTCTCTCATTTGTTTTTGGAGAACTTATCCCATCTGTTATTGTTATTCTAAACTGAATCTAAAATCAGGATAAAATTTCATGAATGTTTGAATAATAGAGTATACTTTGTGTCAATAAAAGTCCTTATACAGCCTTTATTTCTGCAATTACTGGTCGTAGACATGTACTTCCAATTATAAAAGTGTTTTGCATAAAAAATATTCGTACTATGCCATTTTTAAATTTAAAAACCGAATTTAGTAAAAACTGCGAAATTTATTTTTTTTATACGGCTCAGTTATCTTTATATGTATATTTAGTGAAAGTTTATAATTGTTCTAAAATAATAAAACACTAAGGATGTGTAACTCATTTACAACATAAATTAACCTAGATATTTAATTTTAAAGTCTGAGATCTTGTTCAGGAATCGTACGCAAATTGAAGAGTGATCAAAGTTAAATATGTGCATAACTCAAAATGAAATATTCGTTTAGAAGAATGTTTCTGTCTGATATTAATAGATTAAGGTGTGAGGAATATTAGGCAGACTATTGAAAAATATCCTGGTAAATATAATTTTATTTTTCCAATAAGGAAATATTATTCCCACTTTGTGTTCTAGAAAACAGTGGCGGCCTTCAGTACTGACGCAATAGTTGACTCTGAACATTGTTTATATAAATTAAAAGGAACAAGTAATTCTAGTCCAATGAAATTTAATTTTTGTTTTTCTTAATTCGGCTATGAGATTATGATCCTAAAGCAGTAAAACTGACAGTGTAATGGTTGTAATTTTAGCATTTTAAATTGAAATTACTTGTGTGAAAAGGTTTTTGGCACACGAAATGCAACAGAATTATAAATTAAAGAATTTTATAGACTAATAAATCACAAAGACATGTCATTGAATGGCATTAAATGAAGAAAGAAAGAAATATGATTTATATTTTAACCAACCCCTCAAAGAAAGCCAAAACGATGGTTTTCTGACAATGATTTTTTTTTTTTTTTTTTTTTTTTTTTTTTTTTTTTTTTTAATCTCAGCCTTGCATATTAAATATCCCGATTCGTTTTTGTGATTGTGCATATGCTGTTACTAAATATGACAGTATGGACGGGGAAATAATAAGAAATTAGATTTCATATTTTTTATAAAATTGACGTTTTAGGTTTCAAACTATCATAATATGCTTATTTGCGTCATTTAGAATACTTTTGTAATTGGAAATGTATGTCTACAAGCAACGATTGCGAAAATAAAGGCCGCGAAAGTATTTTATGGGCACACTGCGTACGTTAATGTTTTTGAAAATTTCAACACCAGGAAGGAATAATGCAAATTGAACCAAACTTACAAGAAATATAAAGTAAAGTAGGACATGCAATCGCCGGCCTGCTCTACTACCTTCAAAAAGGGCATCGTACAGTTGCATGTTATTCAGAATAAGTTCCTACGAATAATTAGCAACGCCCACTTTTATGTAAGAAAGGACACTTTACACAGAGATCTAAAGTTAGAAAGCGTTGAAGAATTCCTGCATAAGATGAACGCTAATTTCTTTGACCGTGCAATTAACTGTGACCAATTAAATAATTTTCAAGTTTTTAATTACGAAGTTCTTGAAGAGGCTAACACTTTAACGAGGCCGCATCGTCGGTATACGAGAGGGTGGACTTTAGTATCGAGAAATCGCAGCTCGCACGCAGCTTAATGGCACAACAGTGATGCGGGTTTGGAAGAAATGAACAGAGGAGAACCAAACAACGCAATAGCACAATGGCAAGGGACGACAGATACTTCAATCGCATAGCTATGACGGATTGTACAGCGTCCTCTCGTGTGTTAGCACCACGGCTAGAGATGTGTTGTGTAGCTCCACGGTTCGTCATCGTCTACTGCATCATGAACTTCGTGCCAGGGTTCCTCTACGCAGGATTCCCTTGTGGCTGAGAGTCATAGATGCCTTCGACTTTAGTGGGCACAGCTACACAGTGCTTGGTGTGCCCTGTGGCAACAAGTTGTTTTCTTCGATTAATCTCGCTACAAGCTGGAGGGCAGTTGATGGAAGATTACGCGTCAGACGTTACAGAGGAGAACGTATGCTTCCACAGTGTGTTATACAGAGCGAAACTGACTGCGATTGAAATGTACAGTTTGATAAAATCTGCCGAGTAGGTTGCAGAGAACCCATCAGTAAAGAGTGTCGAACATTGGTGTTTCAACTTGGGTTTGAAATTCGGATTCGGTGAATGTGTTGGCTGAATGTGCTTTATCAGCGTTTTCGCCATGTATAATGAGAATACGATCTCGTTTTCCCTAGAAAGCAGTCTCTGAAGACATCCTCCCTCTTAGGCAGATAGTCTTGCGTACTTTGCCATAATCGATTAAGTAAACAAATATGTTCTACAGCCGTTAGGAATTTAGGAAAAAGAAATCTTAAAAAAACTATGTTTTAATCGCAGTACGGATCGAATACGAGATTTCCGAATAGCAGACTCAGTGTTCTAATTGTTGTTACACGAGAATATGTAGGAGGAATGCGCTTGATTGCGCTGTCTCCTTTAAAGATAATGAGAGGGAGAAATTGTTAATGATAGACAATGCATTTCTCCAGAGTCGAACATGAGCTTTCAGAATAATGGTTCACTGACTCTTGTGCTTCAAGATAGCACGAAAGGAATGCCATAAATTCGGTATAAATTTAATGCAGCTTTTACGAGAACTGCCACGTGAAGTGAGTTGCTTTTTTCATCCTTTAGTGTGACGTGAATAGTACCCCGTAAAAAAACTGTTATCTTTTGTAAATGTCTGTTATGATTATTCACCTTCTTTTCTGTTGGTTGAGCTGCAATCAACTGAATACTGGAAATAAAATTGTAGGTCTTAAAGTAAAACGTTGAACTCAAGAATCAGTTCTTCAAAATGGATGCACAGCAAGTGCTTTTTTGCAAAACCCTGCGGCCTTAACAAAAGTGCTGTCCAAGCAAATGAGGATGTAAACAGCCATGATTGTTTAGAAGTTATTTCCTAATATTTATGTAAGTAGGTGCTGTAGTAATGCAATGGAGGAAATGTAGAGTTTTTAGGTTATTTGTACAAAGATTTAGCCCATTGGAAGCCCATTTGGATTTTGCTTAGTGCAGAACCTCCACAGAAAAAGCGATCTGATCAGAATATTTTTTCATCTACCGGATATAAATATACCAATGGGTTAATTCTAAAATTAGAAGTAAGGAGCTCTGTGAAAGGCATTTAGGAAAGAAGAACAAACATTAATAAAATTATAATTAATAAATAAATGTAAATCGATAAATGAAAATTAATAACTTTATGGCAATAGTTATCGAACTAAGAAGTATCCGAGTTCTTCCCGTTGGGCTTTCGCTAAATATATAATATACTGCTTAAAGGAATGCTGAAACACAAATAATTTCTTTTCCAGCACAAAAATGAAATGTGTCACTAATGATAGTGAAGAGAGGGCTAGAAGCAGCATGAGAAATGAAAGAAAATTGCAACGAAGAAACGTGATACGAAAGCAAAGGGGGGAGGAGACAAACTATTTGTGGCCCCCGGCCCCCTGCAGATATAATTATAGTTTACATGCAGAATGTGTGACAGAGGTAAAATGCTTCCGATGTTTATTCTGCAAGCTGGGAATAAACGTAAGGTTCGATATAAGTGACTATTTTCATCTCCCATATTTGGCCAAATTGTTCTCAGAAATATATAGATGCTAGGTTTGAAATGTTTAAGTCATTCACTTTAGGCCTGCTGTCACTCCGCATGCATTTTGGAAGGCATACAACTATTGCTTTTTCTTGTCGTATTGTAAACGAGCATACTTAACACCTCTGATACGGAACTAGCTGATGCAACAGCAGCAGGACTAGGGTGACCACAAGAAATTTACTGTTTTCCAAACATTTTGTGAATTTTTTCTACTTTCTGGAGGTTAAGATTTTGACTTGGGGGCTTTATTCTGCGTTCAATATATCAACTTCCGTCTATGGTTTTGCTTTTAATAGAAAGCGATTAATGCATTTACAAGTTAGTGCAGATTTCCGAGTCTTACCTTTTGCTTCCTCCTGGGGCTGTTAATTGTACTGGCTGAGACCTGTGCTTTGACAATATTACTCCTGGAGGTGAAAAAACTTCGCCCATAGGTAAAGGTTCGAGGAAAAAAAAATTTTGGAGCGAAAAAAACGTTTTTAAAATTCACATTGCCCAAGCCATTATACGATTACAAATGAGCTAGAACAAATTGTATTCAACTTTCAGCCCAAAATATTGAAATCTTGAGGTTCCACATCTCAAAAGAGTATCTGTACTGACTTTAATGGTTAACGTGAATTTCTTTGTCAAAAACGCCATTATTAGCACGAGAAATTGCTTCCCCACACCAAAATATCGAATTTAATGCCAAAATTGTTGTAAATTAATTAGGTATTTGAGAATAAATAAATACAAATTTTTTCTAACTCCTGGTAACCATAGAAGTGTCAAGACGCGTACGCGTCAACCACGCTAACCATGTTAATCATGTGATGTTATTATATCCCATGATCCTCTTGTTCTATTATTATTATTAAGCTTCTGTATATGCTTGTATTAACACTGTATTGTATTTGTCGCTTATATTATTTTAGTTATGGTAGAATTAATATGTTATTAGTGTTTAAATCTGCATCGTATTATTAATGGATGTATCCCTCATATCATCAATAGGAGATGTTCCTGCATTATTGAGTGCACAAAAGGTAAGCTGAATTTGCCATCTTTATTCTTCAAAAATATGCTACTAGATGTCAGAAGAGCTCTAATCTGAGTATTGGTTTTAGCTTGGGGTAAGCAATCACATGGCTTCCTTCATCTTTCAACGATTTTTTGTTGTTAATTAGTTGTTTGTTCGGTGTGTTTTGTCAATCCTGCTTTATTAGTCATTGTTTATATTGGACTAAGATGGGGTAAAATTGAAGTGCATATTTCTAAGATCTTTGTTGGTCATAAACTGTATTGGTTTGTATGCTTGTTGCACACCAATGACCTACCTCCTCATCATCATTTCCAGAAGATTGATGGAAATATATCTGGATCGCAACAGTTTTCTGGAACACTAGAAAAATTCCTGTAAACATGTGAAACCTTCCCTATTCTAGTTGATGAATCCGAAATTGACATAAAAGACCTTAATACTGACCGAAAATACCTCCTTTATTTTTCTAAGGCAGTATCCTTGAGGGAATGCCTTCAGACCAGAGGAATCCTGGGAAGAGGGCCTACTTAAAATTCTTCGCCTTTATGCCTCAATCGCTGAACCAATAGATGGCTTGAAGCTACTAGCCTAATATGTTATAAAAGTTTATGTGCCATCCGGGTTTCAAATACAGAAAATCCCGGGAGCAACACATGGAGCATGCCATATTCATGGAATGGTCAAGAAAAGTTTATTCTTGCCAGGCAATTTTAAGGTAATCGTTCACGAAGTTATTCAGAGGAACTGTTATTTTGCTCACTCTGAAAACATCTTGTTGGTGATGCTGGAAGTTTGAACGAGCACATATTCGTGAATTTGGGCTGAGAAGAAGATTGAAAGAGAGAAAATCTGATTGAAAGGGGGAAATACGATAATTTGCGTTTCCCAAATTGAATTTCAAAAGCAGAGGAATATTTTGAGATGATTTGCTTGGACAATCCCTTAAAACCATCGGCTATGCTGAACCTCAACGACGAAGACATAAGACTGATTAGAGGCGATTCTCAGTTTGAAACAGGAAAGCTCCCTTGTCATTCGCAAGTAGTAAAGAAGCATGTGAGAGTGGTGTTAAAAGCGTCGTTGGAAACACGTGGTGTTGGTGTAGAAGCCAGAGATGGATTCATACGCAGTGGAATCAAGTCTGAGAACGAACATACGAAGTTCGACACCAAGATGAATTTCTTCGGTTCCCTTGTGAAATCTAAATGACGAGTGATTAAGCTGAAACATTTTTAATGGCATTTTTTTACCATTTACAACAATGTGTTGGGTTAGGGAACAGCAAGTTGTAAAAAAACCATTTAAAATATTGTTAAAGAATGATTTAATGTTTTCATAAAAATTAATTTTTTTTTTACCTCATGTGCAACCTGAAGATGACAAGCAATTGAGCTGTAAATTTGATTTGCTCTGTGTCTTTTTCATCGAACAGAAACATTTGTTGGTTCAGGAAGTTTTAAAATTTGATTTTTTTTTTTGGCCTTTTTCAATCCGCTTTGATGGGAGTGGAGTAAGGACCACAAAGCCAGTAAAAAGGAGCTCATATAGAAGTTGGTGTTAAAGTTCTCTTTGGCGGATAGTAAATTTTGCGACCCTTTTTTTCGTTCAACCGGCTCCATCCTTCATGGTGAGTCTGAGGAAAGTAGTAATTCGCCTCTTTCGAAGGTAGGCACTTGTGCGGTGTCGTTGTGAAGGACGAGAGAGTTGGCAGCTATGAAATCTTCTACTTGTTCGCCTCTAGAATCTGATTTTGGATATTTCCATTGTACGCAGTGGGCATTCATATCCCCACCGATAAAGTGATGTGCAGTCGAAGCACTCTGAATTATATTGCTAAGATTTATAAGATTTCTTTCAATTTCTTCTGCAGGCGAACAGTAGCAAGAAGAAATGCATAGTTGTACTGTACCTGAATTAATTGAGATAGATATAATATCTCTATCCAACGAACTTTTTGTTTTACTCTAAGAAATTTGCTATTTATCTGACGAAATGCTATTCTTACGTTACGCTTTACAGTATCTTGATAGTCTGGGATAGGACTTCGACCCAGGTCCCCATACCTCGTGGCCTTCGGCCACCTAAGAAGTAATCCGTCGCTCTGAATGGATTGGAGAGGCTAGGGTGTGCATTGTTTTGAAGATTAACGGCCTCTGAACATTGCGATCCCTTGGCTCCGGTCCAGAATGGATGGCATAGAAGAGTGAGGCACGTAGTAAACCCAAGAAAGGCGTTCGGAACACAGAATCTTACAATACCTTTTGTTAAAATAAAATGGCAGCAAATCAAAAGAATTTTTTACTGAAGTTAGGGTTTCATTTCATGGAAATGAAATGCCGGAACTCATCTTAATCTGATAAATTGTTGCTAAATTTACTATTTACTTCAAAAACTGAGAAGTACCGGAACCAGGCTTCAAGGCAATTTCAGCAATTAATGTACCTGTGTTTAAATTTTTAATAAATAATAAATTTTTAGTTTTAAATTTTATACTAAATCCTTAAATTCCCGGAATCATAGAATTCCGCAGAACATCATTTGAGAACATTACTTTATACTAAAATATTTTAACACCAGAATAATGGCAGCAGTTAAATTGATCTGTGGCGAAATTTGCACCCTTGTATTATCTATTTCAGTCCTGAATGTGAAATTTCGTCACTTTTCTTGAAAACAACATAAATATGCAGCATCAAAGAACAATAAGCTTTAGATTCAAGTTTAGAGATATCTGTATCATACTGTTCAAAAATGATAGTTTTCTTCTGTCTAAGATATTAAAGTAGCAGAACTCTTACCTTGTCAGAAGATCTTCTTTTTACCATTTCTAATCCAAAACAAGCAATCAAATGTCGATAGTTAGAGAGCTATACATATATCAATCAATCAGTAGACAGATATAAATATATGGATAGATATAGGAATACAGATAGATAGCTACATAGATTTCTTCCTTCCCAGCCTAAATGGCTGGATAGCTTGCATAGTATGTAGGTTTGTGCATGTACCTCTTTGCTACAAGTGAAAAAATACGCAAGTTTGGCTCTGGAAAAGTGCATTAATTCGGGGCAGTAGGAGGGCTTAATTTCTAAAATTAGAAGTGAAGCGCTATGAAAGACCGTCGGGAAAGAGGGTCTAGAATAAATAGATAAAAAATGACTAATAAATAATAATTACAAAAATAACTATTAAAATAATTAAATAATTAAAATTTAAGGAGATAAATATAAATGTAGTAAGTTATTAAATAAATGGTAAATATTTAAATAATAAAAGTACTGGACCTTGACTTGTTTGGAGTTGCGACTGAAATTTAAGTTTCACACAAAACTGGGAAATAGTTCGACCAGTCACCGGTTGAATTTAAGACCTGAATATAATGTACTAGTTCAAAGGATGATAGAAATAAAGACCATTCCTTTTTCCATCACACCAATGAAAAAGAGTGAGATCAGATCCTTAATCGTCAAACTGCCAGCTATATTTTCAGTAATTCTTTTAGCAGGATGGGTGGGGCTGGTTTGGAAAAGTGTAGTCGGAATCAAGATTTCTCTAAATAAATCTCATAATCACCAGAGTGCTTTTCATTTGTTTTAATATATAGCACATCTTTCTGAAAACAGTTTGTAAATTTCATTTTGTAATTTCTGTTTGTGCATAATTTTATGTTATTTAATGTTCAGTCTAGAAAATACAAAACAAAACGTATATTTATATTTATACTCATTTATTACAAGTTGAAAGAAATCACGTAACTGTATCTGCCTTGACAATTTTATTTCAATGTATGCATATATATATATAGTTACAAATAACAAAATTCATAAAATACGTATTTAACAACATTCATTAATTTCAAGTAATGCTAAACATAAATCAGCATTTATTCGTCTTTATTTAATTGAATAAATGTGTTGTTCAATAAGGCACGAAAACATTTTTCTGATTCCAACAAAAGACTTAAAAAATTATTCAAGACATTCAACAACAGACTTAAAAATTATTCAAAAATTTATTAGTTTTGCAAGCTTATATTACATATCGGCGTTCTCATCTGTCTCTTTTTTATACATACAGACTGTTTCACAAGGCAGAAAGACTTGTTTCCTGTTTCGTTATATATGTTGCTGTTGTAACAATAGTCTTGAGAGGAATTAAAACTGCTGTAGCCAGATGCGCAACTGGTACCTAAAATGAATCAAATGAGACACAGCAAATTTCATTTTCCAATTTTATATAAAGAGAAAAGAAAATATACAAGATATCTATATATGGTTTATGAGATTGGGGAATTAACGTTATTAAGTACAAGGTTAATACATAATAAGTATTAGAACGCAAAAGATATTTTAAAAGTGTGTGTACTTCAACGAGTCTTTGATTAATATTTTTTAACTACATTTCCAAAATTTGGGTTTTGTAATATTACATTAAAATTCTCTGGTTACGCCAACAGAAACTGCGTATTCAGGAGCACTGAAGCCCAAGATACATATCTTAGCCACGCACATGTATTTCCAAGATTCAAACGCTTTTTACTACAACCAGTAGCTTCAGCCTTGTTTCTATTTAAGCAAGTATGCCCAGCAAGCAATTGGTTTAATGTTAAATAATTAAAATAATCTATATATTTTCTCAGATACTTAAACATTGTAAAGGCTTGTTATCAAATACTTTAGTGTGCAATGAATCTCAGATTCTTCAGAATAAAATTAGATATAAAATTAGATACTACTGATATTTAACTTTTTTTCTACGCTGTAAGCTAGAAGTTCGTGTTTAGTACATAATCATAAAAGAACACTGTCAGCATAAGCCAACCTCATAAACAAGAAATAGTCTTTCAAATAATATTCAGAGAGTCCAGAGATTAATAGAAGATTTTCTAAACTCCTAAGTTCAGAGTGCTAGTATTAGATAATACAACTATTAGATTTCTATAACGAGAATTACTTATAATACAATTTAGATATAACTTCAACGTTAAAAATTTCGTAACAAAATAACGTTTTATTGAGCATTAAATCAAATGTATATCTAAAACTTCTCTATCTACACAGGGCGCTGTACGGTATGGTATATATGTATATATACATACAACTATATGCATATACATACAACTGTATATGAGTATGCATTCGTAAGTGCAAATATACTTGGGAATGAGAAGTAGTTATTACTGTGCTTTTAGTATTTTAGATTACAGAGAACTAATAAAAGAATGATTTGCTGAAAAAGAAATGATATTTTAGTAGACTTGTGAGGTTTACCACTGTGTAATTGCAGTCAAAAGTGAGTAACCTTAAGAACTAGTTAGCGAATAATCGCTTAAGTTTGTGTGACAAGAAACAAGATGGAAGGGTAACTAACCTTTTATTATCCCAATAAGATTTAACATAACTCCGTCTTGGAGTGTACAATAAAAGCCGACATTTGAGCTTGAAATTAGAGACTAAAAAATAAACTAAAACTAAGATTAACGAAAGAGATATATCCGAAGCTATCAAGATTCTAATCGAGTTGGCCCCTTATCTCTATTTGACTACGAAGCTTATCAAGGGCCTGAGTACGGCCGAGCGTAATAATAGCTTTGAGAGAGAGTAGCCAAAAGGCAAGACGCGCGCAACTCAGAAACTCTGATTCTCTCTCACCCAGCAAGTAGAACTTCGCGGTTTAAATACCGCTCCTCATCATTAAGTATTCAGACGTGATTCTAAAACTACGTTCTGGCCGGAATCGTAAGTTAAAGTTAAAGATTCGATAGGAAAGAAGTTTAACTCAAAATTAAAACTGTTATTAAAATTAAAATAACCTTACATACTAACATCTTAATATTTGATCTTGAATGTGTGATATAGCCTCGGTAGAAAATTCTGATGTCGTAAAATAAATTTTACATAACAAGCCAATTTTACACTTTCACAGAGGTATTTTGAATTAATACAATTTTCAAAATTATTACCTTTTTCACTCATACAGTCAGTATCAGTATCCTTAATGACAGGATATACATCTCTTAGATTAGACTTCTCGTATTCAGTATTGTTAGTGTTGTTTGAGATCTCATTGTTAGCCTGAGATACATTATTTTGAGTCGAATCATCCATCCAAGGAACATTGGAATATATTGGATTGTTGAAATTCTGGACATCTAAGAAAAATTAATAGTTTAATGAGATTACAAAATTTAATTATTATTTTAAATAGCTTTTGCAAATTGTATCAAGTATAATGGTTAAAATCCTAATATAAACAACTAGTGAGCCTCCGGTACTCTAACCAATCGAATAAGCGAAAACCTGAAACTGAGGTATGAAAAGCATGGGAATGAGAATGGAAGAACAGAGAACAAATCCAATTTTAAAGTTGTTAATACATTTTGAGATTTGGCGATATGATTAAAAGAAGATTATTAATAAATAAATAATATTCAATAAAAATTTAAAAGGTGGATACATAGGATAAACGAAGGTGGATCAATTATTTTATTGCTTAATTTTACAACATAACTCAAACTTTGCACCACAATGAGCATTAAAGTTAACAAAATCAATCAACTCACGAAGTTAACGAAAACTTCACTGTATACATGTATGAGTATTTTCTCCCTTCTTTCCGCATGCCTTAGTGATGTAACTGGAAGCACACTCGATGAATATTCTGGAGGTCCGGATCTCGGCGAGGGCATTACGGATTTCTTCAGTTTAATGGCTTCCAACAATTTTAAAAGCTTTCTACATATGTTTCGGGTAGAAACACTGTTAAACATTAACAACAGTGCCTGAAATGTAATAATAAATTGCGCCAAATTTGATGTAAAGTACTTCCAACTGATACAATAAGCGCTACGCAAGCATACAGACAAAAATTTGGCTAGTCTTTCATGTTACGGGAGCACAGGGGGGAAGAGGTTTTTCCTAGTGACCTAGTAAGATCAAACACACTCTTTTCCTCCTTTGCCTTTTCTACGAGTAATATAAGACTGCAAGTAGTATGTGAAGAAGAATCTGTTAAAAACTATAACATGGAAAGGAATATTAATCGAATGAAGAGAAACTTATATTGTGTTCAGTGAGCTTCCAGATTTATACGTATTGAGTTTTTAAATTATTTTCTCAGTTTCCTCGACTGAAAAAATTCTGTTTATTAATCAATACAAGAGAAATTTGTACCAATAGCAAAGCTTATGCATGCGTACAAAAAGTATACGTTTTTGAAACAACAGCTTTCTTTTAACTGTAAAATTCGCACTGTTCTTTATTTTTTCTAATGGAGTACTGTCATTATTATTTATTTTATCCTCCGTAAACTGGTGGCTTGATGTTCGAGGTTCAGATTTTCCTCAAATAATTTTATAGTAATTTCTCATTAGTTTGCATCTTGTGATTTAAAATTTTTAATTTGCTGATTGTCTAACTTATTCCACATATTTTTGAATATTAAAATTTCATCCAGATATTTCACTACCCCTAATAGCGAAAATAATTTCATGAATTTTGTGATCAAATGTTGCACTATCATATTATCAGTAACACTGCACCTCCAGTACGATAGTATGCTCGCTATTATGTTTCTGTTACTATTGCACCCTACTGGAAGGGAAATTATTGAACAGATAGTGATGCTCCATTTCATTCGTTGTCAAATCATCCGAACATACTATCATTGTCATTTCTCTCGAAAATGCTCCCTCTTCTCCCACTTCATGAAACAGATGCAAGTAAACGGACGCCTTTTCTGACTTTGACCCAGAAGTACACACCTTAGACCTAAATAAAACCAGATGAAAAGTTCGCAGTTTTTATTTTCTTTAAGTTATCTATAACCGAAGGTTTGGCTTAACCAAAGGCGAGGGCTGAAGATTAGGTGCTTTTGTTAATTCAATTTTGTCCTGCTGCATCTTACATTTCATCACCATTATTTATACTTATATCTCCATTATGTATTTGCTAATCACTAGTTTTAGGTTTATATCCATTTCTAACATCTTCATCAAGTACACGCATTTCATTCTTTTTACATTAAACAAGATATTATCAGTAAACAAGATTTACCTATTTGTGGCATCCATTATTAATGTTTTTCTTTGAAAGACACCTTGAATGCATATGAATATTTTGCAATGGATACTATGCTTTGTGATTGTTATATTTTAAACACAGCTATGACATTGCATCCAGATTCTGATATACTGCAGAACTCCGAGAGCCTTTCGAAGGCCTCTTTGTGTATGTGTGTATTCTTTTTTTCTATGTCTGCAGATATGTGATTCCAAATCTGTAATCCCTTATGTTAACTTTTTGCCTTTTCTGGTTGGAATAAGATTTAGGTCACTATCCGATAGCTTAAATTGCCTTTGTCTTGTCTGTTTTGGATAAGACCTAGGTCACTAGCCGATAGTTTTCTGGATTTTTGAATTCGAATATTCTTCCCTTTCTAGACTAACAATTCTAGAAAAAGCACCACTAGCTGTTGATATGGCTAGGAACCGTTTCCTTAACACCATGAAAACCCTTGATGGGATCAGTATAAACAGCAGATGATGATATGAAATGGAACAGTGCTTGGGAATCAACAGACACTTTGGTAATAAATCTTTCTTTAGCTACTTAAAACATTTGCTAGACGTAAAAACTGCAGTTTACTTAGAGACATTCCATCTAAATTTCATGCTCCGTATATTAACATTCCTAGAATCGTATTAGCTCAGTACATTTAAACAATTTTCTAGTGTTAACTATTTATTTCGACTCTGTGCAATATATATTGTATAAACATGGGGAAACATTATTGTCATTCTCGCGATGTTATCATGGGTATACACCAAATTTATTATTGATTTTCTGGTATTTACTTTCTTACTTTATGAGGAATAACACAATATTTTAGCCCTCTGCAAATAATATTACTTAATTTTAATAACACTCCCAGCATTTTAAATATATCAATAAAATCTGGAATACTATTTTGATCTATACCTCAAAGGTGCGAAGTTATTTGAACTCATTTTGAGGTTTGTATCTAACTTAGAGAATTCCTGTCGCAATCCTGCCAATAAATCGGGATTTTAAGTTATAAATTTAGATGCGAATACGTAGAAGGAAATCATTTTCCAACTAAGAAATAATTTGCTTACCTAAGATATCTCTACGTTCACCCCGGTACCTAAAAAAAATAAGAAACAAACTTAACGTGTGTGTTTTACTTGAATGCCTTTAGAAATAAATCCATAATACAGAAAATTAGCACATGTAATCAACACTATTTTTTAAACAAAACATAGATTCTTACACTCACTTTTTCTCATGTGTAGCTTTAAAAGAGAAGATAATTAAAAACTTATGTAAACTGGATAAATTTTGGTGTTATTTAATAATTATCCAACATTTCAATATTGTTGAACATTGTGAGCATATCCACGGTAAATAGCGTGTCGTAAATCAACACTAAATCACATAGCCAAGTGTTGTTAATATTGCTTTTGGAAGAGAAAATTTGCGTTTATACAGAAAGATCTATTTAACTATCTTATTTTTTGAAAATTATTTTTTTTGTACTTGCTTGCATCAGTTATATTCCCGAAAAATATTTTATTTTTCTCCACAATTGGAAAATCTACTTCATTATTATTAAAATGTACGGGTGGAAAGCTCAAATTCTCGAATCCAATGAATCTTGAAAGAGATTCGAAATTCGAAAACTTGAATCTTCACACTTTTTCCGTCATTCGAATCCTAAGCTTAAGAACTGTTAACTATTTTACCTCCAAATTGCGAAAAGAATAGTTTTATTGACATTTAGTAAAAGCGTTCTTTAAAAAATGGGGGAGAGAGACAGCACGCTTTTGCAATTTCAGTGGAATCTCCTCGCAGCGGCCCTGAGTTAATATATCTCTAGTTTGACGGTGTTGCCACCTGGCAAAATCTGCAGAAATTTTCAATTAGTCATTTCGTTGCCTCTCTTGATAATCTTTAAAACTAACTCTCGAATGGTCTCGATAGCTCCGGGCACAAAACCTAGGTGAATCTGTCAAAATAATGTTTCTAGTAACATCTTTATTGCTATCTGGATATTTTTAAGAAATCATACCAGGATATGCAAAAGCTGTTTGCCGCATATGCCTCCAGTTACCTACTGATTGAATTACAAAGTCATGGCTGTTGAATTTTGAAATATAAATTGCAGTCTAACATCTTTAGGGATAGATACGAATCCCGGCGAACGGGCTGGTCGCATGGGCGCTTTCGTGGTTTTGCCCCTGTGTAACATGTATACGAGACAGTTTCACTTAGAAATTCGTCCACGAAGGCATCCCTTCTCTTAGGCAGATAGCCCTCGAATGCTTTGCTATAATTAAATGACGCTAAAATTAAAGTATCGCTCAAATATCTTTTTTTTCTTATGTTAAAATATGAAACCCAAGATTCAAAAGTTTGTACGTTTCATTTGCTAAATTTATATCTTCTGAATAAATAAAGGTATATTTTTAATATAGCATATTATGAAATTTGTTTTTCATTAAACGCAGATATGAAATACTTTCATTAAAAACTTTTAAACATTGTAAACTTCTTACTATTATTCTTATTGGAAGGGTTACAGAGATTTAAGATTCGAGAGATTCAAGAAACTTCGCGGTTTCAGATTTGAGAAAATTTAGGATTCGTCCCATCTCTACTAAAAATACTTAATTTAGAAAATAAGAAGTACTAGGAGAGCACACTATGTAGTTCCGTAAATAATCAGTCACATTTTAGCCCCGGGGATAGATTTTAGCAAATGAAGCTTAAAATTGCTTAGTAAATGCTTTTTACATTACATTAATTGATGACATCTTTTAATTCTCTATTTTAGGCAAGTGCCTGACTTGTTTACCCTCGGAAAGTGAGTGAGTGAGTGAGAGATTATGGCGCAAAACCAAAGTTGATTATAGTGCGCCAAACGCGAGATGGGGGTGAGTACAATTGAAAATTAAAATACAATAAATAAAAACAAGTAGACAAATGTGTCAAATCCAGAGGATGAAGTCATATAAAACCAAGTTAAAACCACACATTTAAAATTCAAGACACAATTTTCAAAACAAATTACATTAGGTGTTAAAAGCCTGTCTCTTTTAAATAATAAAATAAATTACAATTCACCTCCCTTCCGATTAAACGGTCGAGAGGTAAGTCACAGCTATTAAAATACTTCTGACGAAGATTATTAAAATATGGACACTCAATTAAAATATGACGGACAGATAGACAAACATTACAATTTGAACAAACAGGCTCATTCTCAGCTTTTAAAAGGTAGCCATGTGTCACTCTTGTGTGACCAATTCTGAGGCGAGTCAAAAGAACTTCTTTACGATTTCCAGCAAAATCCCAATGCTCAATTCTAGGCTTTACATGTCTTAACTTGTTTTGACGCTGAACATCCCAAAATTGCTGCCATTTTTTTCGTATCTTCTTTTTCACAACACAACAGATGTCTCCAAAAGGGATGAGGCGACTGGACAGTTCAACAGCAGATTTGGCTGTGATATCTGCCAGCTCATTCCCTTTAATTCCCACATGACCGGGAACCCAGCAGTACAGGATTTCATATCCACGACTCGTTAGGTTTATATGTATCTTGAGAACATCCACTATGACTGGGTTTTGAGTGTTAGAAAAAGCTTCTAAAGATTTCAGTGCACTATAGGAGTCTGTATAAACTATAAACTTTTTGTGGCAGAGCCTTGAGATGTACAAAAGACAATAATATATTGCAGTTAATTCAGATGTTAAGACAGAGAAAGCATGGTGCAAGCGTCTGCCCTCCATGTGGTCTTCAATTACAAATGCCATCCCGACATGATCTTTGACTTGGATCCATCTGTATAAACTGGAAGATAACTGCTATATTTGTGCCTGTGCTCAGCGAAGAGTTGTGTCTGTAAATGATCTCATTGGTGCTTGCCTTGACGTGATGCTTGAAAACATCAAGAAGCTGAATCCGTGCATTTTCCCAAGGTGGGAATTCAAAATTCTGTACTGCTTGGGGGCGCATATCAGAGAGGGAAAGTTCCTCAATGACAGGGCGAACTCTTAAAGGAAAGGTAGGAACACAGGATGGACGTGTTTCAAATAAAGTGTTACACACATCATCAAGTAAGCACAGCTTATTGGGATGTTCAGGTTGGGATAGAATATTAAAATATTGCAAAAGGGACAATTGCTCACGCCTCAGATAAAGTGATGGTTCGTTAGAGTCAACATATAGGCTCTGGACAGGAGAAGTCCTGAAAGCTCCTGAACAAATCCGCAGACCTTGATGGTGAACAGGATCCAGTTTTAACAAAACAGATGACCGAGCGGATCCATAAACAACTGAGCCATAGTCCAGTCTAGAGCGGATAAGCGCTCTGTAAATGCGAAGCATGGAGCAACGCTCTGCACCCCAGGAGGTGTTCGCCAACACTTTTAAAATATTTAGTGTTTTTAGACACTTCTTTCTCAGGTTTAAAACATGAGAAAGGAAAGTCAATTTCTGGTCGAACGTCACTCCTAAAAATTTTACTTCGGGCGCAACTGGAATAATTGTACCATTTAGATATAACTCAGGTTCAGGATGGAGACCTCGCTTCCTACAAAAGTGCACGCACACAGTTTTCTGTTTCGAAAAAGTAAATCCCTGTTTGTCTGACCATTCTTGGATCTTATTCAGAGCCATCTGCAATTGCCTCTCTACATGTATCTCATGTCTGCTCCTCGACAGCTAATCTGTAGATCATCAACATATAGTGATCCCAAGATGGTGGGAGGAAGTTCTTTTAATACAGAATTTATTTTTAAACTGAAACAGGGTTACACTAAGCACACAGCCTTGAGGCACACCCTCTTCCTGTTCAAAAACATCCGAAAAAACAGAGCCAATTCTTACTTGAAAAGTTCTAGTGTTCAAGAAATTCTGAATGAAAATTGGTAGGTTGCCGCGCAAGCCACTCTCGTGAAGATCCCGGAGTATACCGTATCTCCATGCCTTATCATAAGCTTTTTCAATGTCGAAGAATATCGAGACAAGGTGGCTTCTTCTTACAAATGCTTTTCGAATGGAAGTCTCTAAGAGGAGCATGTTATCTACGGTTGTTCTCCCCTTTCGAAAACCACTTTGATAAGGCGATATAATATTCTTTTCCAAGAAGTAGACTAGGCGGCTGTTTACCATCTTTTCAAACAGTTTGCAAACACAGCTGGTAAGGGCAATTGGCCGATAGTTGGAGGGATTCCTTGGATCTTTCCCTGGCTTAGCAATAGGAATGACAACAGCTCTCCTCCATGCACTGGGAAAGGTACGCTCCTTCCACACCCTATTGTAAAGAGTGAGAAGGGCATTCAGTGACTTATAGGATAGATGCTTTAGCATTTCGTAATTCACGCCATCAAGACCCGGAGAAGACCTATGTGTCTGCAATAAAGCTCTCTTTAATTCCACCATAGTAAATGTCTCTATTGTAAGGCTCAGATTTGGAAGAGTTGAATGCGATGGGATTTATTTCAGAGTGCTGCTTGATAGAGAAGAAATGCAGGTGAATAGTTTCTGCTGGAAGAAACGGCAGCAAATGTCTCACCAATAGTATTCGCAATTTCTTCTATGGAGCTAATCACTCGGCCATCTTTTTCCAAAAAGGAAAGTGAGTGGTCTTTATATATGCCGCATGCTTTTCGAACTCTTTCCCAAACCCGCTTACTAGGCGTGGAGGATGTTATTGACGACACATATGAAATCCAGGAATCCCTCTGGCTCTGCCTTCTTACTTTTCGTGCATTTGCTTTGGCTCTTTTAAAGGCTATGAGGTTTCGCAGAGTAGGATATCTACGAAAAATACCCCATGCTTTTTTCTGTTTTTTCAGTGCTTCATGACAGTCGCGATTCCACCACGGTTTCGAATATTTTAGTATTTTTCCTGATGTTCTAGGAATCGAAAGCATAGCTGCCTGAATAATAGTATTAGTAACAGCTTCAACAGCGTCATCGATATGCACATCTTCTACCATTTCCTCTGTGAGCTCTGCGGAGGAAGAGAAGAGTTCCCAGTCTGCCCTGTCCAGTATAAACCGAGGGAGTCTCGACATGGGGTTTGCACCTCTTCGTGCAAGAGGCACAAAAATGGGATAATGATCGCTGTTGTACAG